TCAGCTAATATAAACTCAGCTAAAATAAACCAGAGCCATGAGAATTATACACACATAAGACAAAACAAAAACAAACTTAAAAATATCAAATGGACTGAGAAACATGATGCACATGCTTTAGAAAATTCTAACCCAATCACATCACAAAAAGAAACATAAGAAATCTCAATTTCCTGAAATGTTTTATTTTCACTAATTCATTTATTTAGGCTTTTGGAGACCTCACCTTGTAGGATAACCTGAAACTCAGTATGTAGCCCAGGCCGGGCCTGAACTTATACCAATTCTTTCTTTTTGGCTTTTCTAGATAGGGTTTCTCTGTGTATTCCTGACTGTCCTGGGACTCCTCTGTAGACCAGGTTGGCCTGGGACTCCTCTGTAGACCAGGTTGGCCTCGAATTCGGAGATCCACTCTGCCTCCCCAGTGCTGGGACTAAAGGTGTGCACCACCACTGCCCAGTCTAGCAATCCTCTTAACCTCTCAAGTGCTGGCACTGCCATTACAGGTGTGAACCAACATGCCTGGTTCAACTGTACCTTGTGAAACATGGACCCACACAGAAAACTGGCTGTCAGCAGTGCCACCCTGTTCTATTCTGACACCCATGGAAATTCCAAGCACATGACCCATAATCCTGGAGAAGCAAACCCCAAACCTGGTGGTGGTGTCACTCCCTAGTTAAGAAAAGCTCTCATGACTGTCTCTGCCTACTGAATTGAGCATAGTATTGACAGGTCTCCAAAATCTGGCTCTAGTTTACCTTGTCACTCCCGGTCTACTTCCTACAACAGATATGTCCACACCTTCCCATCTCCAAGTGAGAAGCCCACTTTCCCAGCTTCAAACATTCTCCTGCCCGCCATCTGCTCAAATTCCAACCCTCTTCAAAACCGAAAGGTCTTGTGCTAAGAGCTCAGACTTTCAGGCCACAGCTAGACCCACTAGATCTCCACGAACAGCTTCAGGACCTAAAGCAAATAAGTCAACAGATCTGTTTCTGTACCAGATACCATAGAAGGCACAACACCCTTTGTACTTTTACAAGGTAACTGTGTGGATTGAGCATGATGGTTATGCATCATCTTAAAGCATAGTAGGTAACAAATATTAACTTCTAAACCATCCTTCCTTCCTTCCTTCCGCCTTCACCATCAGTAGGTTTACTTGTGTCTAAACTCAAAGACAAAGACACAGAGACACACACATAGACACACAGACATACACCCCAGAGGGCTTTCTGGGAGCTCCTATTATTCATGTTATGTACCTTGGCTTCAACATTAGGATACAAACACAACACTCATGAATGTGGATTTCTAAATATATGCAAAGCACTATTTGTGCAAATTATCTGACCAAACAGGTTAACAGTCATCTAAAAAAGTTTAAGGTTATAACATCTGACGTTTGTGTATGTCAAGCAATACTTAAGAGCAGTCTGAGAAGATAAATCTGATCCAGGCTTGCTTATAGAACACAAAAATACAAAATGCATTTTCTTAATAAATTCAACTTCATACACCTTGACAGGTGTATTAATCTTATGACAATATTAACTTGCCAGCCACCCCGTTTCTGACAATGTCCACTGAAGAAGATGAGGAGTTCCTCAAGCTCTTTATCACACAAACATCGCCATATATACTCACACTCACACACGGCTTACCCCTAAGAGTTGTAAAGTGTAGTCTAGCCAAGGTAAATAAAACCCTGAAAGTAGTAGTCTGCAAAGAAGCAAAGGCTGACTGTTCACTCTTTAATTCTAATCTGGTGTCATCAATTTCTCTATTATAAACTCCACGAAAATGTCAGCTATGCCTATGATAGTACTTTACCATTTACACGCTCCCAACACATTGCCTAACAACACACTCGAACACACAAAATCAACATCAGAGCAGTTACAGCCCACTGTTAACTACATACACACTCTTACACACAGACTGTACAGCAGAGACATCAAAAGCCCACGAAGGGCTCAAAGACTGTGCTTATGTGACACCACCAACGACTAGCTGTGTGACCTAAGCACGCTGCTTCCTTTTGTTTGGAAAAGGCTGGCCAGAAAATCGCAATCCTCCAGCTTCCACCTCCTGTCCTCGGAGATTACCGTCCTGGGCCACACCCACTGGTGCTACTTCTTACAATCCATAGCCATGTATGAGACAGGGGCTGTCACAGTAGAACGCCATTGGGCTGTGTACTAATCGAGGTAACATGCTCAATGTTAGTGACAGTCTCACACATTTAGTGGGCGGCATTCTAACAAGCAGTGTCTGGCACTAAGAACTGCTCAAAATGAGTATTTAGCACGTTCCCTATTAGAAAACGAGTTCTAGTAACTGTAGTTCTATCTGAAGTCAAACGTTGATAGCAGCAACCGTTTAGGCACATTTTGACTGTTTACAAAGTCCTTTCAATACCTTGTAACATCCATAGACTCCAGTTTACCTCCAAAGCACCCTCAAGGGGACAGACATTTTGAAGTCATGCATTTAAGAACTAAGGCAACTGGCTAATAACGCCACGGTGACCACCACGGTGGTCTCCTCCATGCTGACCCTCCACCTCGGTTAAGTGCTTAGTGCCTTTTTTTTTTTTTTTTTTTTTTTTTTTTTTTTTTTTTTTTTTTGGTTAACGTAACATCCACTAAGAGGAGGCCGAGTCCTGCAAGTTTCCACCCTCCAGGAGAGCCAGCAGTTCAGGAGAGAGCCGAAGGTAACAAGATCCGGTCAGAAGCCATCGATGGTACTTAACGTCGCATTGTTTCCTCATGTGGCGTCCTCCCACTTCTCTAGGGCAGGGGCCAGGGCTGTGTGTAGCGCTTCCTTCCCTACTACGGCCCTCAACGCAAGACCCCGAGACCAAGAGACCCTCGGCCTCGGCTGTGGAAGGCGCGGGGGGGGGGGGGGGGGGCCGGCGCGCCCGGGCGGCCGGGCGGGCGCCGCCCCCCAGCCGAGCCCT